GCTTCATCAGCAGTTAAAACACATCTTTTAATTTCTAAACTTCTAAACTGATTCTCAAATTTTCTTCTGGGTACACCACTATCAAATTTCTCCCAACAGAAAAGAGTATACCAAATATTAATGATATTTCATGATGAATTCTTGAAAATTCAATTCACTTCTATACTCAGAATCTTTTATTACATTAATACATTTGTTTGTGTCTCCTCCACAAGAATTTGAACTCCTAGGGACATGTACCATGTTTTACTAAACTTTATCCAGCACATAGCACAATAGTAGGTGCTCAGTAGTGTTGAATTGTGCTGTTAAATTTCAGTCAGATTTTTACAGGGGCATTCACCTTCAGTAGCCATTTTCCAATGTGAAGGGCAATACACAAAGAGCTCAGGCACGTATATTAATAACGAATGCTCAAAAGTCTACACAGAATAACAATAGTTATATTCATTGAGCACTCAAAATGTGTTGACTCTTCACAACAACTTTTTAATAAGTACTATTATCTCTGTTTTACAAATCAGGAAATAGAAGCCCTTCCCACCCCCTAAAATCACTTGCCAAAGTCACACACTAGTATGTGGCACAGGCAGGACCTGAACCCATATGTTCAGGCTTCAAAGCCCATGTCATTAACCCCTGGACCACACTACTTCTCGTGATGAGCATCTACTCTACCACCAGATTGGTGTACGCACTCATTACAATTTCCAATTATTTCATCTGTCTGTGTATTAGTTATCTATTGATGCATAATAAACTACTCCAAAACATAGCAGCTTAAAATAATTATTATGTCAAAATTTCCATGGGTCAAGAATACAGAGTGGCTTAGCTGGAAGATCTGGACAAGATCTTTCATGAGTTTGCAGTGAATCTGTTGGCCCAGGCTACTCTCTTCTCAAGGTTTAATTGTGGATAAAAGATTCACTTCCAAAGTCACTCATGTGGTTATCAGCAGGCCTCAGTTCATTCCTCCTCAAGTGGGCCTCACCCCAGGCTGCCTGACTTGTCCTCACAAGATGGCACCTTCCCACAGAACAGGTGCGTGAGCACCTAAGACAGAAGCTGCAGTTTTTCTATAACCCAACCTCAGAAGTTATGTATCACTTCTGCTGTATGCTATTGGCCACACAGACTAACCCTGGTAAAATATGGAAGGGCACTACACAGGAACATGAATACCAGGAAGTGGCAATCACTGAAGCCATCTTAGAGGATGGTTACCACCATCTGTTCATTTTTTGTGACTATCTCCTCCACTAGAATGCAAACTTTATGAGCAGGAAGAAATCATCAGTGCCATTTACTGTTGTATTCCCTTCCACAGTGCCTGCCATATACAGGTGGTCAATATGTACTGAATAAATACAATGATGAAAGTGATAAGAATTCCAAAGGATGAGCTCCCTATAATTCTGTCTTACTCTCAGACAAATTCCAAATTGCCATTCATGGTACCATTTAATCAATTTTTAAAAGCAGGGCTATATCATGCCCAAGAACATTTACTCCTGTATATAAACTTATAAAATGTGGACTTGGACAGAACACATACCAAACTCATAGAAATACTGGGGAGGAGAAGAGAAGAACAGTATTAAGGTTTTCTTCTTGGGGCCGGCCTGTGGCTCACTAGGGAGAGTGCAGTGCTGATAACACCAAGGCCACGGGTTCGGATCCTATATAGGGATGGCCGGTTTGCTCACTGGGTGAGCATGGTACTGACAACACCAAGTCAAGGGTTAAGATCCCCTTACCGGTCATCTTTTTAAAAAAAAAATAAAGGTTTTCTTCTTTTATTTTCTTCTATTGGAATTTTTTACTGGGGCTTCTGGTCAAGATGGCGGAATAGATGGTCCCCAGCGTCACCCTCTCCCACAAATCAACCAATTTACAACTATTAAAAAGCAACGACAGCCAAGCTGGGAACTCTAGAGCTCAGGGGAAGAGGAGAAGAGACCTACTGAGTGCATGAAGGAGGGAGAAACCACAATGAGAGAAAGAAATGACTGCTCCCACCATCTTGTGCCCTGGCTGCTTCAAGGCTGGAGCTGGTGAGCACATGGAGCAGGAGCTGGCAAAAGCCACAGCTGTGCCCTTCAGATGGAGTTACTTGGAGGTGGCAGGGGAGAAGAGGGCTTTGGTGGCCCCCAGGCCAGCAAGACCACTAACAGGGTTCCTGAGGACCTACACAGGTGCGAGGGGCCACAAAAACTGAAAAAAGGAGCCAGAAGCTAATGAGTCACTGCAAGGGACTGGCCCACGTCTGACCCATGGGGAGTGTTTGGAGTGCAGGGGATGGGAGAGATGTGCCCACTTGGGGAACACTGGGGCACAGCAAAGACAGCTGTTCTGCCGCCCAATCAGCACAGGACCACTCAGTGTACACTGGTCAGGAATATAGAAACGCAGGGGGTGCAGTCTGTGAAAAGACTCAGGTCCAGACCAGAGTTTGAATACAACCGAAGGGTACCGGATCTCAGGAGTCCTGGAAGCATCTATAAAGTCAACCATTAAAACCTGAGCTGCGGGCTGAGCCCATGGCGCACTCGGGAGATGCGCTCCCAGCGCCGCGGGTTCGAATCCTATATAGGGATGACCGGTGTGCTCACAGCGCTTACTGGCTGAGTGAGGTGCGGCCGGTCTCAAAAAAAAAAAGGACAAAAAAAAAACAAAAAACCTGAGCTGCACAAAAAGCCTTCCCCAGGGAATCAGCAGCAAAGCAGCAATTTAGCTCCACCACAGGACTCAAGTGCTGGTCCCCACAGGAAGTTCCCCCATTTTATAAGTCAGCAAAGGACAACAAATTAGTTCCAGTGCAGAGTTTAAGTGGTGGGAACAGCAAATAATCCCACACAGAACTGAAAGAAAAAACAAAATAACCACAGATCAGAGACAAAGTCTGATACTTACTAGTAAATGTCTAACACCACCACAAAACACCTATAAGACCTAGAAAGACCGGTAGCCTCTTTGGCTCCCACGCCAGGGAGAGGGGAGGGCCATGGGCCTCAGCTGTGCCCTCCTGATGACCACACTCAGCCCAGCAAAGACCATCAAGCCGCAGCCAGAACCCCTCTGGTCTCCCCTGCTAAAATGAGGGGGGTAGTATGGGCCTCAACCAAACCCTCCCTCCCCTCTCCTCCTACCACCTTATTTCCTTCCCCCTTCCTCTCTCCCTCTCCCTGCCAACTGCTCTGTACATCTTAGAATGTAAAATATATATATATAAATATATATATATATATAAATAAATAAATAATAAACAAATAAATTTAAAAAGATTTTTTTATTGAGCCAATATTTAATGATGGTCAATGCTGGGTGGCAGGAATATGTGTACTTTTATTCTCTGTACTTTTCTATAGTTTTAAAATTTCTCAAAATGAACAAGATAAATTTTTAAAGTGTTGACTAATTGGAACATGGGTCTATACTGCCTTCCTGTGGCTCTTTTCTCTAATAAGGCTGTATCCACAAATCCCACTCTCCAGATAACTCAGACCAAAACCTATTTTCTCTTGAAATTATCCAAGCTTTTCTGGCTTGAAGTTTTATGTAATCACCCTGGTTTGCTGCTGCTTCACTTTCTTTCTTTGTACAGATAGAGCCACAGCCTCCTTGTGCTTGGGGAGAGATGCCTAAGCAGCAACAGCCTGGCCAGCAGCAGGAGACTGTGGCTACTGGCACTGGTTTTGACACACAGCCCTCTGAGACGGGCCCAGCAGTCAGAATCCCTGGCCCTGGGCTTGTTTCTAAAGTGCTGATGCCTCTTCCTTTAACACACAGCCAATAGTCACACTGGACCAATACTGGAAAGGCACATGGAAAATTTTAAATCTGTAGGTATCAGGTGTATATAAGATTTTACTTTTATTTTGGTTTCCATTCCTGCTGTTTAAAAAGTTCAAAAAAATCAGTCAATGCATTAACACTTCTTTTTTCAAAAGGAGGCTTCCCTATTGTCTCTCAACTCTGCCTTCTCGCACATACTTGGTTAACACCTAAAAACTACATCCAACCTACTAACCCCAAAGGTGAAACAATCCTTTACATTAACATCAAGGGGCAGAAAGAAATTACACAATGGGGCCTGGATGACCCTGCACCCCTGCCTTAGTCCATTTGGACTGCTGAAGGAAAATAGCTGGGTCATCTATAAACAACAGCAATTTATTGTTGTCAGTCTGGAGGCTGGGAAGTCCAAGATCAAGGCATGGGTGGATTCAGAGTCTGGTGAGGGATTGTTCTCTGCTTCAAAGATGGAGCCTTCTTGCTGCATCCTCACATGGTGGAAGTATCAAACAAGCTCACTCAAGCCTCTTTTATTAGGCACTAATCTCATTCACCTCCTAAAGGCCCACCTTTAATACTACTACATTGGGGGTTAGGTTTCAACATATGAATTTTGGGAGACACCAGCTTTCAAACCATAGCAGCCCCCAAATCTGTTGGGCCCTCAGAAGCCCTCCAGAATCCTTTCACATGTCTGTATTCCATTGCTTGGCCTACTGTCCACAGGGACCAGTCATGTTGCTTTCTCCTCAGGTGGCCTACTCTCCTCAGACTGCCCACTTAATTTTCCTTGTTCTCCGCAAGTGACACTGTCTCCTCCTTAAAGTGAAAATCAAGAGCACCCAAAACACTATCTGTGCCTGCTCTGCATTCTTTCATTCAACAAATATTTATTAGAGCTACTAGGGGCTGCACTGTGCAGATGTGGGTGATACACGAGTCGGAGCCAAGCAGTCATGGTCCCTGCCTTCATGCACCTCAGTCTAATTGCACATCCTGAAACAGATTAAGAAGGAGAATTCCAGGTGCTGCAAGCCTTGTGGGCCAGGATAGTTTTCATTAAGAAATGATACCTTGGGCTAGCCTGTTAGCTCAGTTGGTTAGAGCTCGGTGTTGATAACACCAAGCTCAAGGGTTCGGATCTCGTTACCCACCAGCTGCCAAAAAAAAAAAAAAAAGAAAGAAAGAAAGAAAGAAGTGATAGGAGGAGTGTCCAGGCAAAGGGAAGAGCATTTACAGAGGCCCTGGGGTGAGAAGAGCTTGCATCATTTAAGCATCTAAACGAAGCCAAGCAGGCAGGGGCCAGATCACCCATGGGGCTTCATGCCCATCTTAAGCGTTTTGGTCTTTAAACTAAAGAACTACGGAGACTCTATACAGAGATTTTAGGAAGCGAATGCCCTGTTCAGATCTACCCTCCCCATGCTTCAGAGCAGGTCCGGGTCAGTTTTTGCCCAGCAGGTTATCCCCAGTGTCCAGCCCGGCACCAACCATAGGGGCCGGACCTTCGTTGGCTGGGTGGCCGTGTGCAGTACGGGACTTGGGACCTGGTGATGTTTTTGGTGCGGGCTGAGGAGGCGTGAACGGAGAGGGCGAAGCGGTCGGCGGCAGCAGCGGGCGAGGGCCGCGGGGGTCGGTCTGTGGAGCAGAGAGGCAGGTGGCGGGCTGCGCCGGGCGCCCCGGGGGACCTGCAGCGCGACCAGCAGTGGGCGCGTCTGGCACTCAGGCCTGCAGAGCTCCCAGCTTGCACACCGGCTGCGCGGCTTCCCGGCGAAGGGAGCCAGGCCAGGCGGCCTACGTGGCTGAGTTCAGACACCCCGGTTCTCGGCGCGGCCGTCCCGGAGCCTGCCGCAGCCCACAGCGCAGAGGTGAGACAGCCACCGGGGGGCTGGGCGCGCGCCTGGGCCACCCCCACGCCTCTGGCCGGCCGCGCTGCGCACCCC